TAGGCCGATTTCATTGTTAAATACTGATTACAAAATATTTACTTCTATTATAGCAAGTAGACTAAAAAGAATGTTAAATGAGCATATACATGAAGACCAAAATGGATTTCTCCCGACCAGACAAATCAGGAATAACTTAAGAATAGTATTAGATGTTTAAGAATTTTACGAAGCCCACCCCGAAATACAAATAGCACTTATGTTTTTAGACGCAGAGAAGGCCTTCGATAACTTAAATTGGCAATTTTTAATCCAAAAACTTTATAATATGAATTTAGGCACCAAATTTGAAAATATTATAACAACCATTTATGATACACAACAGGCAAATATTATAATAAATGGGGAATATACCCACCCAATAAAAAAAGAAAAAGAAGTCAGACAGGGCTACCCACTCTCACCCCTGCTCTTCATATTATCACTAGAAGCATTATTAACGCGAATTAGACAGAACCCAGACATAAAAGGATTAAAGGTTAAAAAAGAAGAATATAAGTTGCAAGCGTTTGTGGATGATATGATTTTTTTCATTGAAGAACCAATAGAAAGAGGACAAAAATTGATGAATGAATTAGAACAATTTGGAGCAGTAGCAGGACTAAAAATTAATAGGAAGAAAATGAAATTAATGACCAAAAATTTAACAGAAAAACAGAAATTAGAACTAGAAGTCATGGAAATACAAGTGATAAAGAAAGTTAAATATTTAGGAATATGGTTGACAGCACATTGTAAGATACTTAAGGAAAATAATTATGATAAATTGATGCAACAGGTAAAGAAGGATGTAGAAACATGGGGCAAGCTGCAACTTTCATTATTAGGCAGGATCGCTGCTATTAAAATGAATATTCTTCCAAAATTCCTCTATATATTTCAGACGATTTCAATCAAAGTACACACTTTTTTTTAAAGAACTTAATAAAATAACTGAAAAATTCATCTGGCAAGAGAAAAAACACAGAATAAACTTAAAGGCAATGCAGGATATGAAGAGCAGGGGAGGGCTGGCACTTCCAAATTGGGAGTTGTATTATAGTGCAGCCTCTTTAGTATGGTTGAAGGAATGGGTGAATTTAACCAATAAGAGAATATTATTCTTAGAAGGCCATGACTTGCAGAGGGGGTGGCATGCTTTTTTATGGGATGTTGGGAAAACTAGCCAGAAATATTTTCACAGACACCTAATCAGAGATTCATTATTGACTAATTGGAAGAAAATAGGGAAAAAACGCTATTTAAAAATACCAATTTGGATCTCAACAATGGAGGAGATGATTCACCCAAATAATCTGGATATTGCTAAAATGATTAAATATAAGGACCTATTGGATACTCAAGGAAATCTGAAACCGTGGCAAGAACTTCAAGATTGGGGATTAAAAATTGATCAGTGGGCATATCTTCAAATTCAAAGTAGATATAAACAGGATAAGAAAGAATTTGGAATTAACAATAAACTCCAGCAATTAGATAGAATTTTATTAGGATCAGGCAAAAAAAATATAACAAAATTTTGTAATTATTTATTAGAAGTAGAATTAGAAGAAGAAATTGTAAAAGGGAACATGATAGCCTGGAGTAGGAATATAGGACGTAGTATCACCATAACAGAATGGGAAAAGGTCTGGGGTAGAAATAATAAAATCACAAAATCGGTAGCATACAAAGAAAATGCCTATAAAATGTTTTATAGGTGGCACCTTCCTCCGAGATTAGCGAAGATGCACCCCAATATGACTCTGAATTGCTGGGAATGCAAAAAAATGAGGGAACTTACTTCTATATGTGGTGGTCCTGTACAGAAGCTCAAAAATATTGGCAGAAAATTAGAAATTGGCTGGAGGAATGACAAGAGAACAGATCAAATTCAACCCAGAGTCCTTTCTATTAGGGATCTTTGATAAACAAATACCAAAAAAAAGTGAAATATATAATAATACATATTTTGACAGCAGCCAGATTGGCTTTTGCACAATGTTGGAAACAGCCTCATGTTCCATCAGAGGAGATGATTATTCAAAAAATTTCAAGTTGTGCAGAAATGGACAAATTAACCTTGGCATTAAAAAAGACACTTCAATATACTACAACAGCTGGAACTGCTGGTACAAATGGATAGATCAAAGATAGATTTCACACTAAAAGGCAAAAGAGGATAGGAAAGAACTGTAGTAGTGATATACAAATATATGTAAGGATTAAGTGTGTATATGGCATAAAATAAGGATAAAAAGGAGGTCTCACAAACTGTTGAAGATGAAAATGATTTTAATTGTTTTCTATTTTTTTCTTTCTATTTTCTTCTTCCTTTCTTCTTTTCTTTTTCTCTCTTACATTTATGTATGTGTTGTTGGTCTGTTTTAATTGTAAAATCAATAAAATTTATTTTAAAAAAAGATTGGTGTATGCCCAAAACTGGAAGAATGAAGATACCCCTACAGAAAGTGAAATAATAAGGAAAATATTAGTCTGTGCAGAGATGGACAGACCAACTTTAGAAATAAAAGATAAGGGTGAGACAGAGTATTATATGAAGTCTTAAGTAAAATGTATCAATGGCTAGAGTCAAGGAAAAAGAAAGGGTTGACTGACTCTTTATAGGAATTAAAGTTGAAGTTTTGTTAACCAAAGAGAATGGAATATAATGGACAAATATGAGATGATACAAATGCGTGAGTATAAAAGATGTTTGTAAATATGTATATAGTTGTATATAAATGTATATAAATGTAAATAGAAATAATATGCAGCTAGCACTATACTAATAACATAAGGGAAAAAGGAAATTAACTGTTATGTGTATCTCTATATACTATAGCTTGTATGGCCAAAATGATGGACAAGAAAGTTGCACTGTGTTCAGTTGTTTTTAATGTTTATTCAATAAAATTTATATATGTATTAAAAAAGGTTGGCAAAATAGAGGAAAAGAAATCAGCAGGAGATGCTAAAAGATTCCTCAGCCTAACCTTGCTCAGTTAGGTTCTGTAGTTTATATTTTGAATCAGACGAATCCTATATATTGCGTTTTCTATGAATAATATTGCACTGGCTCCAGGAAAATTGCCAGACTGTCACGATTCGTGCTCAGTTGTGCAGAGAAGACAAATGTGTGTTACCTGGAAAAACAAGGGGGAAAAAAAGAGCTTCGTTATCTATAGGTAGTCCTTGACTTACAACCTCAGTTCACCTTGGAATTTTCATTGCTAAGCAACACAGTTGTTAGAGTTGTCTTGTGACTGCAGGCGTAGGATTCGGCCAGGTTTGGGCGAAGCGGGCGCTCACTGAACCAGTTGTTAACACCAGTGGAATCCCACCACTGCATGACTGTGCCTGATTTTATAACCTTTTGTCACAGTCATTAAGGGAATCCGGCTTTGCCCATTGCTTATCAGAAACCAGCGGGGGAGATTGCAAATGGCGATCGTGACCCTGGGACACAGCAGCCATTATAATACATGCTGGTTGCCAAGTGTCCCGAGTCACAATCACATAACCATGGACACAGCAAATTCCAATGAAGGAGAATATCTGTCGCTCAGGGTTGACATGACGGATCCTTGGAGCTCTCTGAGCTTGCTTGTTTTCTTGTAGACATTTCATGACCCAAACTAGATAATGTCATCTGTGCTAGAAACGAGTGATATATGTGGAGAGGAGGAGGAGATTGTGGAGTCCTCTGAGCTTGTTTTTTTCCAGATGTTTCATGACCCAACTAGGTAACATCATCAGTGCTAGAAGGTGGGGTAGGGTTTGTGGAACTGACAGGATGAGGAGAAGGACTGTGGAGTTCTTGGTGCTCTCTGAGCATGCTTGTTTTCTTGCAGATGTTTCATGACCCAACTAGGTAACATCATCAGTGCTAGAAGGGAGTGGGGTTTGGAGAGGGGGAGGAGAAGAAGAAGGAGAGGAGGAGGAAGACTGTGGAGTCCTTGGTACTCTGCATCAGGGGTGGGATTCTTCTGGTTCAGGCGAACCCCTAGCTGCGATGATCAGCTGGCTCTGAACCAGTTAGATCTGATGATCATGTGGCCTTGCCCACCCACCCCTGCACTGTACTCAACTATACCTGCTCAGCTGATTCGCATGGCAGAGCAGATTGTGTTATTTCCTCAGCTGTGTTACTTCCCTGAAGTAAAATTGAAGGTAATTGTGATAGCTGTGCACGCGCGCACAATGCATGTTAGGCGCGTGCAAAGCATGCAATTAGCAAACCGGTTGTTACACCAGTAGAATCCCACCCCTGCTCTGCATGCTTGTGTTCTTGCAGACGTTTCATGACCCAACTAGGGAACATCATCAATGCTAGAAGAAGCATGATGTATGTGGAAAGGAGGAGGAGGAGATTGTGGAGTCCTCTGAGCATGTTTGTGGTTTTTGCAGACATTTCATTACTGAACTAGGTAACCTCATCAGTGCTCGAAGGGAGTGGGATTTGTGGAGAGGAGGAGGAGGACTATGGGGTCCTTGGTGCTCTGAGCTTGCTTGTTTTCTTGCAGAGGTTTCATTACCCAACTAGGTAACATCATCAGTGCTAGTGACTAGCACTGATGGATGATATTACCTAGTTTGGGTAATGAAACTTCCAAGAAAAGAAGCAAGCTCAGAGAGCACCAAGGACCCCTCACGACAACAATTACAAGTGCGGAGACTGATCATAAATCACTCATTTCAGCACCATCCTGACTTCAAACATTTGCCAAACAATTGGTCGTAAGTCAAGGACTTCCATCTTTTGAGGAGTACTTCCTCTATTTCTTCTGGAGATGGGAGAGTGACAATCATGACTGAACAACTGCAATAAAGGCCTTCAATTACAATCTAACAAGGGCGCTATGCTTGTTATTGGCAAAATCGTGGGTGGGGGGGACATCAACGCCCATAAGTCACAGCTGGAATACTCTGACATCTGGAAGAGGGCGGTCTTTTTAACAGCCTTGATTGTGGCATCCTTGCTCTTCCCTAACACCTTGTTTTGTGTTTGCCGGACACAGCAGGTTCTGGGATCCCACTATCCACCACTGCAGCGGCCCAGGCTGCTTTGCAGCTTAATGGAGCAATACCTTTGGGAGCACTGAATCCAGCTGCCCTGACAGGTAAGGGGGTGGGGGATCCGGGCTGGTCTGAAAGGAGCAATTGGGAGTGGTCCTAAGGACGGGAGTGCATCATGACAACTCTGGCTCAGCATTTTTCAAACTTGGCAACTTTTAAGGTGCGTGGACTTCAACTCTCAGAATTCCCCAGCCAGCTGTTGGCTGGGGAATTCTGGGAGTTGAAAGTCCACCCATCTTATAATTGGCAGTTTGCTGTCTGGGAGTTGAAGTCCACATAAAAGTGGTAATTTGGCTGTGGAATTCTGGGAGTTGAAGTCCACAGATCTTAAAAGTGGCCAGCTTGCTCAAACTAGCCCAATGAATGTTTCTCCAGACTGCTTGCATTACACCAAAGATCACCCTAATTTATCATCTTTTTTTCCCCATGGGAAATTATTCCCAGGTTCCTAATGCCTTTTTTTTTCTTTCTCTCAACCCTGTAGCTCTTAGCCCAGCATTGAATCTAGCTTCACAAACACTGGCCTCCCAGTGCTTCCAGCTTTCAGGCCTCTTCAGTCCCCAAACAATGTAAGTCGCTAAACAGCAAAATGTGTGGATGTTGGTAGGAAAGGAGCTTTTTCATCTTTATTATGCTCCAGATTTGCAGATCTTTTACAACCTAACTAAGATCTATAAGTTGATTGAGGGTGGATTTTTACCAAACAGATACCTAAAACCTCAGGTCTTCTCCTAGTCCTTCCCAAAATCTCAGCCTTATGAGATTTTTCTCACCCTTGAGCCCCAAAGTTCCCCACATCCCTTAGATACTCACAGACAAAATGATTTACCTGTGAAGTCCTTGGTGCTCTCTGAGCTTGGTGGTTTTCTTGCAGATGTTTCGTGACTCAACTAGGTAACAGCTTCAGTGCTAGAAGGGAGTGGGGTTTACAGAATGGAGGATGAGGAGGGAAGAGTAGGATGACTTCGGAGTCCCTGGTACTCTCTGATCTTGATTATGGACATTTTGTGACCCAACTAGCTGACATCATCAGTGGTGGTAGGGTTTGCAAAGTAGAGGAAAGAGGAGCAGGAGCAGGAGAATTCAGTGGTGGAGCAGGCAGGGCTGTCAAACTCGTGGCCTGTGGGCCAGATGCGTTATGCGCTGGCCACCCCACCCCCATTTTAGCAAAGGGGGGAAAGTTGTGATACGTCATGTGACCACGTGTTGTTGCGAGTTTGGCACCCGTTTTATGTGGTCCTTGGTGCTTCTGAATTTGGTTGCTTTCTTGCAGACATTTCATGACCCAACTAGATAACATCATCAGTCTAGAAAGGAGTTGGGTTTGTGGAGTGGAGGAGGAGGAGGGATAGGACTCTGAGGTCCTTGGTGCTCTCTAAGCTTGGTTGCTTTCTTTTAAGACGTTTCATGACCCAACTAGATAACATTACCAGTGCTAGAAGGGAGGAGCGGGATAGGATGGTGGTTGTAGTCCTGTAGGGTCTTTCGTGCTCTCTGAGCGTGTGCACATTTCATGACCCTACTAGATAACATCAGTGATAGGAAGGAAGGAGATAGGATAGGAGTGGTAGCCTTGTGGGGTCCTTGCTGCACTTTGAACTTGCAGACGTTTCATGACCCAACTAGGTAATCTCATCAGTCTAGAAGGGCTTTGCTCTCATTTTATATTCCAGTGGCTTGGCCCGTCAGTGTTGGTGAGAGTGGTCTTAGGAACTTGCCTTGCAAGTTCTCTGGTGCCCAGATTCGTTCCTCGACCTCTAACTCGCACCCCCCCCAATAACTTTACTCTCCCTTTCATCATTTTCTACCCTTGGCCATATCTCCACGTGAAATCCTGAGTGGTGAGGCCGAGGCATAGAGGAGATGGAGAAGGACCTTGGGGAGGGAAGGAAGGTAGGGTGGAAAGGAAGGCTTCTAACCTCTTTTTTTGTTTTGTTTTTTTCCCTTGTTTTCCAGGTAAGGACACCCAGTCCTCCCCCCCCCTTTCCCGCCCTCCCTCTCCCATGGAGCTTGGAGGGGGAATGATCATCTCCACACCATTACCACCTCACCTGACACCCCTCAACACACAATTGTGGATCCAAGCCTGGGGGGGGATGAACTTTGAAGGAACGCTCCCTCTTTGGGCACAAGGGGGGGAACCCTTCTTAACATGAACTCTGATTTATTCCGAATTTCCCTCCCTGGGGAAAGGGGAAGAGCTTGTATTCTGACCCCCCCCTTCCCCCCCACCTCCTCCAATCACAATTGGAGGAGAGGTGCATTATCCCCCCTTGGGGGGAGAGCTTTGCAAATGTTGAAGGGACCTCCTCCCCCCCCCCCCCCCCAAAAAAAAAGAGGTGGAATTGCAGCATCTTTTCCTTTTGGTGGGTTTTGGGGAGGCAGGAAGACTCTTGGCCCCTTCCTCTTTCTCTCTCACCCCTCAGCTCTCGGATCGGGCTGTGGGGCTTTGCTTGGATGGTTTTGGGCAGTCCTCGCAGCCAAGACTGGTCTGTGCACATGTGCATGTTGTACAAAAAAACGGAGAGGCACAGACCGGCATGTGGGTGGGTGGGAGGCCCATGTGGTGTATATCTCTTCCCCCCCCCTCAATTTGTAAAGAGGCATAACCTGTGGGGATGTTGGGTGTTTTCCCCCTTCATTTTTCTCGACTGTCTCCCATTCTTGGTGTCCCCGTTTTTCTGGCTGCACCCCTTCCTCGGAGTCCTTCAGAGACCCATTCCCCACCCCCATCCTTTCTGTCCCCCCTCACCCGCCCTTTCCAGATTTTCAAAGGTGTATTTTGGTTTTTCTTTTTATCTCTTTCAATTTCCCTTTTTTTTCTTTTGCTTATAAATGAATAAAAAAGTCACCAAATGGAACTGTGTGTATGGCTGTTCTCTTTTTTTTTTCAAGGAGGCAGGGTGAGGGGGAGAGTTTCTCCTGAAAAGAGATTAAAAACCTTTTAGGGGGAGGCTAAAATACTGTATTTGGGAAGGGAGGGATTTTTCTCAACATTTCCAGAGTCCAAGCAAGAAAGGAAATGTTAGGAATAACAAGGTTACCTAACGTAGTTTGGGTAAAATAATATATATAAACTATGATAGTAAGTTTAAGTGTGTGTCACTTTAAACTGCAAAGCATGTAATTTTTGGGTGCGGTGTTGAACCACCATAAGAGGGAGCAAGAGAATGTGACATTGCTGAGGATTACTGGTTTGATGAATTGATGGTTTGTTAACTGCGTGTTTTCCCTGCTGCTGAGTTGCTGAAGGAAGAGAGGAGTTTTGACTTCTTCATATCTCTACTGCAAGGAGATATATTACTGGACTGATATTTGTAAGTTTACTGACCTCTTTTTTGACACTGGAATTTGCAACTGAATAATCCCTGGACGGACTGAACTAGTGAATGATATATGGACTGTTTGACTATGCTATAACTCTTACTGGAATAAACTATTTAACTAGCACAGTGTATCTGTTTTACTGAGTGTAAGCTACAAAAACGTTTATCTCACATATTTTGCCTGCCTGCCTGACTGCTGTGCAGATTCTGCTAGGGTGTATCCCTAACAGGAAAGGAACATTCTTCTTTGGATCAGTATATTCAAAATCTATGTTATCATCTCCTTTTACTAAAAAAAAAATGCTATGTCATCAGTGAACAATAGCAACAACTAAACTACACCATCACTTTCCTTTTTGAATAAACATGGATCAGCCATGCCAGCTACAAAACCTATCTTTGTTAATTCCTTCACTATGCACTGGTTCCATTCATAGCCTGATTGCTTCAAGCCATAAAGACTCTTTTTTAATCTCCAGCAATCAGTTTTGTTATCAGTTTTTATCCCCAAAGGCTTCTTTAAATACATAAACCAGGATAGTCATTTAATAATGTTGTATCTTTAAGAGAATGTTGTAATTGTGATTGGCTGAGGTTCCTCCAATGGCCATAAGATGGAGCCAGAAACCTGGTTTGTTCTCCTTTGCATTTCCTTTTGCTTTTTGCCTGATCGTCATTCTGCTTGAATTGCTGTGAGTCTTGCAACTATTCGCAAACTCCGTTTACTGAACTTTGTTTATGATGCTGGTAAAGAAAAGGACTTTGTTTTTTGGATTATCTCTGGACTGATTATTTTGAATACTACCTGCTTTAACCGCGTATGATTTGGATTGTTCGTTGGACTTTGTTTACCCGTTTACAGGAAGTAAAACTTACATTTTACTATTCAGTGTATCCGTGTGCTGGTTGTGTTATTCATCACCACTCTCACTATGTTTCCCTGAGTGCACTCATTCTCCTAACGGGGAATACCTCAACATCTCTCTCTCTCTCTCTCTCTCATCATCTATCATCTGTCTTTATCTCTATGTCTTTATATTGATATCTGACATCTATCCATCTGTCTTTATCTATATATGTCTGTCTATGTCTATATCATCTATGTTTTTATCACCTGTCTTTATATCTATCTGTATCTTATCTATATCTATGCCTATGTTATGTCTCACCTATATTCATAGATGAGAAGACAAGGTTTCAGAATTCAAAATATTCAAGCAGAAACAAAACCGGATTCAAAAGGGTTAAATTAGCACAGTTTTCCAGTCCTTGGCAGACTTCCCAGAACCTGTCAGGCTAATCAGAATTGTCCATAATTCACAAGGCCACTTCAAATGTATTCTTCCGACTCATCAAACACTTTGCTTCCAAGCAAAGCTTGAGAGTCAGCACGCCTCTTTAAATCACCTGGATAGGCGTGTCAGTCTCTCCAATCAATGTTTGTCCTGATGCCTCCCTTCAGATTGACGTTTCCTGGTTCTCCTAGTTCTGGCATCAATCCACGATCTGTCAGTTTCCTCGCTGGAAACTTCTGTCTCATTTTGTTGATCATTTGCTGGCCTGAACGAAGTCAAAGGTTCTGGGGAGAATTGTCTCTGCGACAATCTCTCATCCTCCTGGCTCACGTCTGTGTCCTCTGATAATTCAGACTCCACATTCACAGCAGGCTCCAACCTTCCATCATCAGAGTCATCAGAGTCAAAACTCCCAGCAGGATCGATCCTTCCAGTCACAACATATCTATCTATATCTATGCCTATATATCATCTATCTATATCTTTATCATGTCTTTATATCGATATCTATGTATCTATACACCTGTATCATTTATGTCTATGTCTATACATCTATGTCTATCATATATTATCTCGCTTTATATCTGTCTGTCTTTTATTACTATGTCTCTATATCTAATGTCTCTGTCTTTATCTGTCTATATATCTATATCTAATGTCTCTGTCTTTGTCTACATCTATATCTAATGTCTCTATGTCTTTATCTCTGTCTATATCTCTGCCTTGCTCTTTTCCCCACGGAACTCTTTCCATGGGGAAAATATTCTGTCAGCCAGGAGTCTCCTCCCCTTTCATCCCAACTCTCCACAAGCAGAAGCTATTCTGAAATACAGTCCTCGAACTTACAACCACTGAGAATCTCCATAGATCTTCATAGACAATTGGGACCAATAAGCAAATAAATTGTTACGTTGAGCCGTTAGCTGATTTTATGACCTTTTATTGCCACGGTTGCCACAGAAATAATTGCAGTTGCTAAGTGAGTCACATGGATGTTAAGTAAACCCACCTCCTCCCCCGCTGACTGCTTTTGGAAATTGGCTGGGTAGGTCATAAATGGTGATCACGTGACCCCAAGATGCTGCCCACTTAACAACTGGCACAAACGGTCATACAATGAGGTAAAATTCACTTAACAAATGTTTCACTTGCTACCTAACAAAAAATTTGGGCTGAATGGTGATCGTACGTCAAGGACTTCCTGTACATGCCAAGTGCCCAAATTTTGATCATACAACCACAAGGGCACGAAGGTCTTAAGTGTAAGAACCGACCTTAAGTCACAGTTCAGTGCTAACTGAACAGTCACTAAATGAACGGTTGTAAGCTGAGGACTACTGTTGATGTTCTTTCTGATCACATCACCTTGGAGGTGGCCAAGTTCTTGGTTCCACAGTTGGTGTGATAGATCCCACAAAATATCCCTGAGATGTACAATTTTATGACACAAAATAACAGATTACAAGGGACCTTGGAGGGCTTTTCCTATCTGTGGTTATGTGAGTCCAGATAGGATGGGTAGTATCAGGCACAAGCCAGTTGGACTGAGTGCTCCAAAATTCAAGCTCCACCCTATGCTGTGGCCACGCCCCAGTTTTTGACTTAGTGCAGCCAAGGACACGTGTGTTACCAGGCTCCACTTTAATAAACGTGGAGCCTCGAAAAAAGGGGAAAAAAGTTTTAAAAGTTCATCAGAGGCTTGGAACTAACAACCAACAAGTGAGTTGGGTTTTTCAGCCCCAGGGGCTTAGGGATCGCGCTTGGGGCACTCGCACCAGCGCGTGGAGCCAGGACCATGTGGGGCGGCTCCAGGCAATCGGCCCGATAAGGGCTTCCAGCTGATTGGCACAGCAACAGAAACCGCTTGCAGTTTCTCTTTTGCTTTCTTGGCTTGCCGATTCGATCGACTTGGCTGAAAAACACTGAGCGCAACAGCCTGCAGCAGCGGCCTAGGGAGCAGCCAGCTCAGGAGTGCTTTGCAGCAGCGCAAACAAGCTGCTAGATCAGGCAATCGGTCCAGTCCCAGCTGGAGGGGAGCAATCGGAGAGGAAGGAGATAACCCCCAGCTGAAGGCGCTATAGACCACAGTGCCAGTGTTGCATTTCCAGCTCCAGCACTGAGGAGATCACGTGGGAGCCTCCAGACCTGCTTGCAGGTCCCAGAACGTGTTTCTAACTGGCAGGGTGTGGATGTAGCCCAGTAGTTGCCTATCCAGGCTTGCTTAGCTGGTTTACAAGGTAAGGAGACTTTTTTTTACTCTGGAGAAGGCCTTAATGGTTAAACTGATTGTGAGTGGGTTGTTAACACCTCATCCCTCCTTCCAGCAGGTTCCATTCTCCCTTTGGCTCTTTCTAGTGCCTTAGATATCTCCAGTGGGGATGGCAGACAAGGAGCAAGAAAGGGAACCCAGCCCCTCCACTTCCAGAGGCAAATCCAGGGGCAGACAGAAGAGAAAGGCCCCTGAGCCAAAAGCACCTTCCAGAGAAGATACAGAGGCCCAGAAAGGGCAAAAGGCACCTGGAAAAAGGTTGGAGAAACACCACCATGTGGCTGGGGGGAGAGGCAGGAGATCACACACACCCAGGACTCAGATCCTTCTCAGCAACCCCCTGTTTTGCATCTGGAAACAGTGCCTTCTACTTCTGCTGGTGCATCTTGCCCTCTTATCTGGTCTCCTGGTAATTCCTCTGCTATTGGTGATCCAACTCCCTTTGGAGAACATGGAGGAGAGGAAGGTGATTCCATAGTCTTGGAGGAATCTCTTCCTCCTCTTCCTAAAAAGGCTATAGCTATACCTGAGACATCCAACCCAGAGGATGAGGCTGAGGCTCTACCAGCACATCTGGAAGCCATCATCTCCAAAACTATAAGAAGGGGAGTTGTGGAGGCTCTCCAGGTTACTAGGAGACCAGTTTCTGAGGCCTCAGTCCATTCAGATCCTGAGAGGTCTTTTCACAATAGA